GACATCGCGAACATGGGAAAAACAAACAGATGATAGAAACGAAGAATCACCAAATGACGGAAGCGTGTGATGGACAAACATCCGCGGTCAGTAGTTTGATTCAGGCATCGATGCAGCCGTTCGTACTTTTTGCAAACGCTCGTGAATTTTGATCGTAAGGCCTGACGACGGTAGACAAAGCTATGTTTGTCTCCCGCAAGTGATGCATCATGCGACGTTGACAGTGCAGCAGCACACAGGAGGTCAATTACTTATTGCTAGCGACCATTTTTCGCTCTTTGAGTGCATTCGAAAATTTGTTATGCGTAACGCGACTACTCGGCTATGGATAGAACTCCTACTGTCCACGACTTTAACGAATTTGCTGTGAATGACATAAGAAATTATTAATATCTACATATTCGCATAAGCTCCTGTCCTAAAACAATAGAAGTGTTAATCATAGGCAAGTTTCTCGATCTGCACCTTCCTCTGGAACGTCTGTCATGTTACCTCATTAGCTACAGCTGATCTAGTATCCTTATGACAAGTAGCAACTAGCGACCTATTCCACTTCTCAGTCAATGAAGATGGTAAACACGGAGCAATGCTATTTGCGCTTTCATTTCGCCATGGAGTCGTTTACTTCCAGACTGATGACACGTGGCTTCTTCTGCAAATTCGCAACCATTGCTTGGAGTTACGCCGGGTCTTTAGTGAAGATGACAAAGTTTTTGCAAAGAGCAGATGAGTGAGTTCTGCGTCAATGTTGATGCTGTCGCACAAGATCAGGTTGTTAAGGAGGAAATCCAGCACCGTCGTGAAAACCTTAGAAGAGATTGTGTCTCTTTGCCGTTCTCCTCTTTTGATGTTGATTTGACGAGGTTCCTCGAACGGCCTTAAGTCAGTTGCGGCGACAATATTCATTTTCTCAATCAGGTCGATTTAGACAAATCTGATATCGCAGTCGTGCAAGATGTTCAGCATAGCCCTCAGCGATGAAGTCGAATGCTTTCTAAAATCGATGAATGCATAGCAAAGGAGGAATTGGTATTCCTTACACTTCCCTGTTAATTGTTTCACATCACTGATGTGGTCTATGTTCGAGAACCCTGTTCGGAAACGTGCTTGTTCTTTGCTAGCTAGCTGTTCCAGATCTTTCCGGATACGGTTAAGGATGATTCGAGTAAACTTGTGACAGAAGAATGATTTGCAGATAGTTTGAGTTTTAAGCGGGGTCGCTCCTCCTGACTTAAAGCATTTCGGTTTTATACTATCATTGCCAGGACATCCACCGTTGTTAACACTCTTTACTACCCACTCTACTTCGTCCCAGGTAACATCGGGAGCGGTTTCCAGGACAGTGTGCGGCAGCTTCCAGTTTATCTCTACCTTCGAAGAGCGAAGGTTGTTGTAGAAC